ATTGTATAGAGATTCCCCTCGCGTGCCAAACATTCTCCTCGAGAGAAATTCCTTCAAATAGTTGCCATATCTCCTATTATTGATGCCAAATTTCTGTTTGGCCATCCATTCAAATCTCTGCCAGTGGCTCTCGATATTCTGGGTATGGGCGCGGGACTGCGGGTTCACGAAATTCACCTGATGATTCACGGTGAGATGGGTGTAAAGCTGCTGTAAGGGGTTATCCCGTTATAGGCCTGCCAGCAAGCGCTGTTGATGGGAGTACCAAACCTGATATACTTCGTAATGTACAAACCTGATGTACTTCGTAATAAGTCGCAGCAAGGTTTTGGCATCGCGTCGTTGAACGAGAACTAGGAACGATCGGCTACTTCCTCTTTCCTACCCACCAAAAATCATTGATGTCGGCAAACAATGCGGCCTCGGTATCCCAAACAATTTTCTCTTGTCACGCATGTCTCGTCGATCCCCACAGCGTGACCAAATTCACCTAATACCGGACAGTTCCTTCGGAAATACTGACAGCACACGTCCCTGGAATACTGTTTTCATTGTACAATGTCCTATCCCGAGTTCATACATCCTATCCTTAACCAGGCCAAATTCTCTCACCCAGATAGGACAATGCGAACATCTTGACCACTGGAGTACTGCACTGACTGAAGAACGATCCTCCCAAGATGGTCGCAAATGGTTTGTTGTTGCCGTTTGGTCCGTTAGCGGCAATCTCTCCTGTAGCAGTACCAGAGTCTTGCGTTCACACTGAGAGTCATTGGCCGCTGACAGAAGCTGCATCTTGGACTGGCAAGGAGACCGGTGGAACGAAGCCATCCTTCAAAACTATCGTCATCCATCCTAAGCTTCTCGAAGACATTGGCGAGGGTAAAATCTCCCAATTTCTCCTCCACACGACGAAGGTCCATAGTGCAGAAAACAGCCATCATCCGCCATGAGTGGATACGAATGACTTAAATCTCTACAGGTTGTTCAAAATCTAATTGCCCGCGCCAGAGTATAGCGCTTCGCGACCCAGTGTTTCCACCAGCTCCCCGCTTGGTGTTCAAAGCTAGACGCTTGCAAGTGTCTTTCTACATCCTGAACATGGTCTAGTTTAGAATACATGACCAGTACTGCCCAATACATCCCGTACACCGTAATTTCAGCCTGGAAATAGGCGTATATGCAGATTGATCGTCTAAATAACCTTCCCCCCTAAACGAAGTTCTGGGCAAATCTGTGATTTTGACCCCTGCCGTAATCCAACTGTATCTCCACCGGATGACGCTACCGAAGTAAACATCATATTCGTGTTGAGCGTACGTACCAAATAACCCCCTATGCGAAGTTTTAGCGAAGTTCAGGATTTTCATTTTTTGGGTCAACTAGTGTGGTATAGCGCTAGTTTTTCTTTTGATTTCTATATCGTTGGCAATCCCTATAGCAAGTGTACATACCACTCCGAAATTGCCCTCGCTCCT